GAAACATTGGTGCAGATTAGATGTTTGTGATGTCCAAGTACAAAGTCTGTAGCTTCTTGTGAATTAGATACTCGAATTACTAATATTGACAAGCTAGAATATAGATAAGAATCTCCTATCTTTTCTGTTTTCTGAGATATAAATAACATTTATTGAATCAACCAATATGGCCCCCACCTCTTCCATTTTTGAAAATACTTGCTTAAATACACCTACTTTTGTCTTTGACCTGTGTATAACCAACTGAAAGATTAGAAAGTTCCCCTCTGCAAATTCTTTCTTTTCATGCTAGATTCTAAGCGATATGGTAAGACATTAGTCAGCTCAATAATTCATATTTTTTTAGACCCAAATACAGCTTAGTTATTAAGCTTGAAAAATTGTAGTGGAATTTTGTGGTATTGATATACTAATTTATGATTTTTTTATTTCAAAATGCATATATAAAACCTAAAAAAAATATTTTGTTTTACATCCTCCACATGCTAAATCTGATAAGGTTTAGCAACTTATAGCAAGCAGCAAAAAAGTATAAAGTTCATATCTAGAACCGATAATTGTTTTCTGTACTTCTTTATTTACTGTTCTATGTTTTAAGAAAAATAACTGAAATTTAAGTACTTATTTGTGAATAGTAATAATGTATATACATATATAATGTATTATAACCAAAATGTGACTGTATTTTACTAGAACGCAGCCAAGACAGGTCACTTTGTATAGGCTAGTTTTATATTCTTGGATACAGTAACATGAGTGCACACGTGCCACGTCATTGTAACTTCTGTAATGTTAGTCAGGCAAGGCAGAAAGGTCAATAAAATAAAAATAATAAATATATAACGTTATGAGATAAATATATATAAATATATAATTTTATGAGACTTAAGTTATCTATACTAAGCATTTATATTTTCATATTATAATTTGTAGCCATTCTAGAACAAAAAAAGCATAATTTATATCTATTTCCTAATTTTTTATGGTGGTTGTGAGGTCGGTCAAAGATACAATAGTGCAAATAACAGATAAAATATAAAGGTTTTTCTAAAGTTTGATAATTATCTGGAGGTTATAAAGATTTTGCAAATTTAATTTGAAAATTTTCTGATTCATGAAAGTGGATGACATTTTAGTTATTGGTCACAAATTTCTGACTACCACCAAGAACCTGAGAATGACTTTTAGTGCATTAAATATGAAAGATTGAAACTGAAACTAAGAAAATTTGCCTTATTTTACCCATTACACATGAGTGGAATTTCTTGGTCACATAATAGACAGGGACAGATCATTTATTGATCCTGCAAAGGTTACTGTGGTCAAGGATTGGCCTCAGTCTTAATGACCAGATGATAATTTTGCAGATATTTAGGTTTCAAGTCACAAAACTGGGGTTTTTGGCCAATTAATCTTTTGTTTGCATAGACTAAGGCTTATAAACACTTTGGATGAGTGAATGAATGTAAGGAGGCATTCCTACAGTGTTTTAGTTGAAATAACAGTATTGACTTATCCTCATAAAGATTATTCATTCACTCTGGTAACCGATGTCAGTAATATTGGAACTGGAGTGGTTTGTCACAGGTACAGGAGGTGATACGTATATGAATGATGTTACTATACAATAAAGATTTTGTTTGTAATTAAGCACAAAGCTACACAATGGGCTACCTGTGCTCTGCCCACCGCGGGTATCGAAACCCGGATTCTAGCGTTGTAAGTCTGCAGACATACCGCTGTACCACTGGAGGGCATACAATAAAGAAACTGCTAGCTGTCAAATATTTTCACTCATACTTCTGTGGTTAAGATTGTATCATAAAACCATATTGTCTTTATTGCACAGTGAGTTCATGAGCAAAATAATAAATAATACAAAATGAACATAAATAAACTGAATATGTAATATCTTAGTCTTACACAGAAGCTTTTACTAATATGGTTAAATCTTATTGGTTATTTACAAGTAGGGGATAAACTCACATACAATATACATACTAAAGTTATTTGACTACTGAAACATTAACTTCCTGCATATGATTTGTTTGTTTGTAGTTAAGCACAAAGCTATACAAAGGGCTATCCGTGCTCTGCCCACCACGGGTATTGAACCCGGTTTCTAGCAGTGTAAATCCACAGACATACCACGCTGCCACTGGGGGGTTCCTGCATATGAAGTGTGCACTGTGTGATATAAGTCAAAGCCCAAAGATTTTTTTCACATTTGCAGCATTATTAAGTGGAATGCTATATATATGAGAAGAATATATGTTTTTATTAGATAAATCCTTTAAATAATGCTGTTTTTGTATTATGTAGTTGGATAGAAATGAATAAAGACCTACTAAACAGAATATGGAGTTGTTGCATTTATATTTAAAGTCATGAATGTAAAAACATGTAATGATTATAAATGAAATATATCTTTGTACACAACATTTTTGTATAAACACGTTGTCTTTCTGGATAATTGCCATCTTTGACTAAGATCTTGAGATTTGTTTTTTTGATTGAACCCTTGATAAAGCAATAATATGAAATAGTGGATTTTTAAAACTACAGTACCAAGGTTTGTAAAAATCATTTGTCACTACTTCACTTATTTTTTTGTTCCTTCCATAATGGTTTCCACTCTTTTTTTACTCTCCCCTAAAGTATTAGCAAAGTGTTGGGTCCACTAACACCAATAACAGAAATGGTGTAATATTTTATGTTATAATTGAAAGTTTTATATTATCTAAGTCTTTATTTCTTGCTTTCAAAAGAAATCTCTAAAAAATAATTAAAACTTCAGTTTTGTTGTCAAATGATGCACTCCTAGTTAAAAATATCTTAGCTTTTGTTTCTTTTATCTTAACTATACTGTACCTTAGTACAGATTTTTCCCAGATGATCAAAGTACACACATATACCGCATGTTTACCACTAACTAGATTGAATTAAAAGAACTCATTTCCAAGAAAGACTTCATAAAAGTTCTTCCCCAACCAGTAGATGCCACATCCACTGCAAATTAGAAATGGCTGTCACTAAGCAACAGATTAGATTTGAATGGCATCCTTATAACCAATAGAAAGAGCACATTTTACAGTGTCTTTCCCATACATTATTTGTGATGTTACACCATGTAAATGTTGACTACAAAGGCATAAAGCTGCTAAATACATTGTTGGAGATCGTTGTCCCTAGAACTTGGCTCTTTTTTCTCCCCTTATATATATTACTTAGATAGACAGTTAAATTGCTTTTTGGTTTTTACTTTTATATTTTACTTAATTATGTATTATTTGTGTTTTAAAATTCATATTTGACAAGTTTAATGATTTTAAAAATATATTCTATGCTTTGCCTCACTCAAAAAGTGTTACCCAACTAAGCGAGTGTAAAAAATTTTGACGGAGGTTAAATCACCTCTACCAAAGATAATGTTATGTTGCCTGCGAGCACCCACTGATGTGTGTCGACATGAGTAATTAACAATAATGAATAGGAAAGCAAAATAAAACTATAAATGAAAAGGTAAAGACATGAAATTACATATATGGCCCAAAGAAGATATTCTAAGATTATTCAACAAAGAGTTAAAAGGTATGTACGTATTTCTATTTCTTAATGTCTTAAGTATTTTTATACTTAACATGAAAATCACATTGCAGGTGAACTATTCAGAGTCCAAGTGCATATAACTATATTAAATAACAAATTTTGATTAGAAATAGTACAAAAAAATCCAAATTAAATATTTTATTTTTCTGAAACTGCATACTTTTAAGAAAGTTCTTGTCAAATTTCAAACAATTTCATCCACTAGCTTCATTTTTGGAAAAACATTTTACAAGAGTTACATAACCTTCTATAATATAGGTAGATCGTTTTAATATAGTTCAGTAAAGAACTTCTCTTGAAACTAAAAAAAAAGTAGGATCTGTATTCAAAATCTTTCAGCAATGTACACAGTTGAACAGAAAAACAATTGTTGAAAGCTTTATGGGCTGTACCTTGCATGCATAGATGGAAGAATACTGTCATAAAGTTACTTAAGTATCTACAAAAGTCTAGACAATATATTATCATCCTGCCAGTGATACAGCCTTAAAAAATGGTAGAGTGCATGTTGCAAAAGTTTTATCAAGGGATTTATAATGGTGCACTTGTAGACTTTAGAAAAAATACCAAAGTTAACTCTCTACTACAGGCTAATGTACTGACCATCTCTATTCCACAAGAAAATACAATCTTTGTATGGACTGAATATTAAAGAGGTATTGTATAATCAAGACAAGTCATGCAGCCACATGTACTAATATATGTGCCAGTTCCTCCACAAGATGCAAGTACAAATTGGAATCATTGATATCCTATTTGCAGACATCTCCCATAAAATTCAGTGGTTTTGGGTTGCTCAAACATACCCTTGGAGGTCATTTGTTCACACACACTGTTGAAATGTGAAAAGCAGGTAAAAAAGATGAGGACAACAGTAACCTCAGTGTATTGTGCAAAAGTCTACTGCATTAGAAGTTGTACTACAGAGAAGCAGTCCATAATTAGGGCCATTATGAAGTTGAGGCACTCATCTTTGTATCATTACCATATTTCACGAACAATTTGCGGCACTTTGTATACAGATGATAAATGTGAAGAATTGCTTTATATATTTAAAACATTTTACACAACTTGTTCCAAAATGAAATTTAAAAAAAGTACAAACAAATACAGTTTATATAAGTATAATAACATGTTTAGGATTTCCTGAGATATATCTATAATTAAATCTAAATAATTATTTATAATAATAATTAAGTCAATACAAAAAAGATGTTACACTAAAACTATTGTAGTTACTTAAAACTTTCAAACATGAAAAATAGTAAGAATCATATTATATCATGTAAGTTATACAGTAGACATTAAGATGTATACTAACAAGGAGTCTTAAATGGCATTTTTTGGGGATCAACAACCTGCTCTACATAAAACATTGGGTAATCACTTACTGTTGTGGAGAAATCCATTTCTCAATACATAAAACAGAACATCTAGGTAAGAAGCTTTGGTAATCATACACAAATTCTGCCTGTAAATAAAGCATATTATGAGAAAAAATATTTTTATAAACACAACTTGATAAACAAACATTTATAGTCATAGTTTAGTAACACTAAAGAATCTCTGAACACATTAACAAATTCCAAACAGTTGCTGGAATCTAGTGGCAAATTCAATCAGAATTATTTCATTCAATAGCATACCATAAAAAATAAAAACACCGTCATAAAACTATATAAAAATTTTTGTTTAATTTTTTTTCTGTAAATATATTTTTTAAATGTAAAAACTATGATTTAATGTGTTTTATCACCAGAAACCTAACTTACAAATGATCCTATATGATTAGATCATAAAGCAAAATTATTATAATTACAGCATTAACAACTATTCATGAATTATTTTTGCAAGTCTGTAGTGTAAAGAGAGTCTACTGTTTTGCAGATAATAAAGTTTTACATGAATGTTTTAAAATATAAACTTCAAGTGAATGAAGTCAATCAATAATGTAAAGTTGCTTTAAATTTTACAAAATGTGAATATTATCCTTGTAATTTTGAGTTCAGATGTAGTTTAAGAGAAAAAAAAGGAGCTATTTTAATAAACTTAATAGTTTGCCAGAATAGACATTTTGAATGTGAATCCAAGACTCAATATATGCAATTTATTGACACTAAGATCATTCTTTTAATACAATGACAATTTGTTAACTAAACCAACTATGTTATAAAAAAAACACGTTATAATGAAAAAAATCTCTCATTTCAATCCCCAAATTAAAGAAGTAAATCTTAGATATTTCACTGATAACATCATCTTCTAAAGATTTTCCTTGTTAATTTGATTAATTAAAACATTTTACTTACAAAGATACAACTTACAATAAAAATATTTTATACTAGAGTTAACAAATAACCTAAATACAAAGAACTAGGTCTTTATAAATTTTACTTGTACCATGAATAGCAAAATATCAATGTAGAAATCAGCTGGAAGAAAATACAGTTTATCTTATATACATAAGTCAGTTTCATTTAATAAATACTAAAGCTAATTCACAATTTTGATTAATGCAGTATTTTAAAATGTTTTTGATAAGTGTTAGTTTAGATTAGGTTCACAAAGATTCTTTTGTGAGTTTGTTCTTGTTTATGCTTAACTTTTAGATTTACAAGACTGACAAGATGAAATGTTTTATCAAATACAAATAAATATTTCATATTCATTAAGTAGACACAATAAAGTTTAATCAAATGGGTTTCCCTAACAAAGTCAACACACTAATAAAGTACAAAAAAAATATATTTATTTTGGTTCTCAAATACATGACCATATACCTAATTAAAATAATTATAATTATGTTTCAATATGCAAAACAAAACTAAAATGTACATACTTTTCCAAGATCCAGTGTGATTTCTCTAACCATGCTAGTAAAAGCTCTTGGATAGCTTTTTTCTGTTGAACTAGTAAGTTACTGACATCTTTGAGAAGTTCCTGGAGCTATGTCAAGTGCATGTAACAAAAGGGATGAGGAAATAATATTTTAAACCAGTCTTCATACCCATATATTTTGTAAACTTTCTGCAGATACAGATAAGAAAATGTACATGAATTATAAGTTCTAAAGCTTTCTGAATAATTAATTAGATGTATAAACATAGCTTTCAATTCTTAAAGAAAAAAAAATTATAAGCAATGTTTAAAAGCCAAAAACATAAGCTGATAACTGCATTAGCAACATCTGAAAGTTGTTATAAATCTCCTCAGAACTTTCATGAAGACTGTAACATATGACAGCTGAAAAGAATAGGGAATGAGCTAATGAGAAATGATTAATAACTAAAAAAATAAATACTGTATAGTCTACTGATCTTAATAAGAAGAAGTGATGTGCACAGCACATCAAGTCAAGTATGATGCACACAGCAATTACAAAGAGAGATGGAGATCAAGTACATTTTAAATTAGGTATACAAAAACACACAGACCTGGAAGTCACCTTTAATATTTGTATTACTGACTGAATGTTTTAATGAAAATCGTATTGTGCAAAAGTTGAAAATAAACTGGGTTTTGTGAACAAGTTTTACATTTAACACAAAACACACATACATATAGTTTAAAAAAAAGTCCATCACAAAATCCAAACCAGTACAGAGAAGAAACTAACTGTACCTTCTGTTTTACACAGTTAAATCTACTGCTCTGTAATATAAATTCTGGTTCAGAAGGTAGCACACAGAATCATCTACAAAAGTTGTAGTGTTTTCAAACGAGACCCAAAACTAGAGTGCTTTCGAATAGTTGACTATTCTTCATCGTGAGAATAAAAGGTTATGTTTAATGAGTGTAATGAAATATATAGGCCCGGACGTCGATGTCATGAAAACCAGATGCTCAATAAAAGTTGGCCTTGAGAACTAGCCAATCATAATCTAGAGTTGTTTGTGTCAGGTTTGGTTTGTGCCAAAGAGGTGTGTACAGTACATAAAAGACTTAAATGGGATGATAGTTATAAGAATTGTTAACCAATTTCTATAAAGATAAAATAAAAAACAACAATAAGAATAAAATAACAGCAAAAGGTGGTGGTAAAATAGAGAAAATAATAATGTGAAGCAATATATAGGAAATCATATTAATATAGAGAAATTTATGCAAGAATAATATTATTAATGTAAAGTAAGTTTAATTATGAATTTAGTTTAGAAAATATTTTCAGAGACTTACTCTGTAATATATATATATATGTAAATAGTTAAAAAGCTAAAATTTAAAACAGAAGGATAGTGCAAATCTTATACTGTATATCCAAACCTTGGAAGAAATATAATTAAATGTAAGTTCATGAAAGAGCAAGATAAAAAAAAAAATCTCAGCCACAATACAAACATCCAACACCAGGACATAAATAAAAAAGTGGGGCATCACATAATGTGCCCTGATTGTTAGAGGTACTGGTGGAAGTAAGACCCAAATTGCATTGGGGGTACACTGTTTAACCTCAACTTTGCAGTCCTCACATGATAATTTAAGAAAACAATAAAATTGAGCAGATGTGGGTGCTCTAGCCCACAACGTCCCACATCTTTACCAACTTTTGCGGTCTGCAGCCAGATGTGGGAAGGTGGCCACTAAAAAGCAAAAAAAAAAGGTAAGCAAACAATAATGTACCAACAAATACCATACAGAGCATTATACAATCACAGCTTCCTAGGTAGCATAGAATATGTAGTAATGTACAGTACTTATCTAATATTAATATATCAGTATGTTAATTGACTTTTAATGGGTTTGAGGAGAAAACTTTAATTTAATATTTTAAATTATTTTATAATAAATAGAAAATATTTATACAAATTTGAAAACAGTGATTCAAGCAAAATTATAACATTCACAATAAAAAATAATTTCTAAAATTTATCGTAGTTATATCACCTTCCCTATATAAAACTATCTACTGTGTGGATCTCTTTATAACCACTGAAGATCCAGATAGCAGCATGTAAGGGTGGAGGATGGGAGCTATACTTATAATATTTGTTAGGCTTAGCATAGTAATATCTTAACATCTTGGTATCTATGTCCAAACATTATATTGGGGGCTGGAATGCTAACTTCAAGGACAGTTTTGCTGTCCCCCCCACTGATGTAATGTATTCTGTTATTTCTTGCTACTTTAATTTAATTTTTCTTGTGAGCAACCACCTTCCCATATCTGGCTGCAGACAGTAAAAGGTGCTAAAGATGTGGGCTAGAGCACCCACATCTGCTCGATTCCCCCCCTAATCATGTGAGGCCAGCAAAGTTAAACTAGATAGAAGGTGTACCCCCAATGATACTGAGGTCTTACTTCAGCCAATAGCTCTAAAAACCAGAGCAAGTTACATGATGACCCACCTTATGATTTGTACCATGGTGTTTGATGTTTGTATTGTGGCTGCATTTGTTTTTCTCACTCTTTCATTAATTTACATTTAGTTATATATACACAAACACACACACATACATATATATATATAAACACATAGATAGAAATCAACTGTACCTTGTGTTCTACATAGTTACATCTTGTGCTCTGTAGTAAGACATACAAAGCTGGAAATTAACTAAACATTGTGTTCTACACAGTTAAATCTAGTGCTCTGTAGTAAGACATACAGATCTGGAAATTAACTGCATCTTGTGCTCTATACAGTTAAATCTAATGCTCTGTAGTATGACATACAGAACTAGAAATTAAGTAGCCTGTAAAATGGTGAATGGAGGGAAGCAAAAGCCAAAAACTGTCATGTGATGTTGAAAATGTGATATAAATGTGCCATCTAAATTGCAACCTGTTGGATCTCATCCAGGGGAAGATGTTAATGAGAAGCAAGAAAATCCATGAGATGATGAATCTCATGGGAGGTGATACAATGAAGTGTACAGGCATCCTCATTCAAAGAAGAATATACATCAACTGGAAAAGCTGAAAAACCCACCCAGTTAAAGTCAAAAATGAAAAGTCATGAGCAAAGCAGGTATCTCACAGCAAGAACATGCAAAATATTTCTTAAGATAATTAACATTGACAAAGAAAAAAAAAAAGAATGCCACATTAAAATGATTATCACAAACTGATGCACAAGACAAGTACAGGGTTCATCAGTTTTTGAAATCAATATGTAATGCAGTGATCCACTAAGTTTGTGATATTTACCATGTAACAGATTTATTATTATATATTTATTTTAATATCAATGTTTGTTTAGATTAAGTTTATATTTAGAAAATGCATAGCTTATAGTGTTAAATATGTATTGCGAAACTCCTGCCTATTCTTTAAAGTTGTAGAAGATCCTCAAGTGTAAGAATCAACAATATATGTATGTACGTAAACTCTTAATGTAGCTTTGTATTGTTACGTAATCTGAATTTTCTAGAAACTCTCCACATGCCTATAAATATAACTAATGCGATGTGTCAAAAAAGACAGTATCTATTATTAGTTTGCTATAGCCAGGGTGTTACAAACTTTGGTAGCTATAACTGTAATTTTGTTTTATTGCCCTTTGAACCTTGTCTAACTAATAATCCTGTCAAACAAGTTGTAAATCACTTGGGAAATGTGTGTAGCTCACATTTCCCAATCGAATTATGTAATGCATGAGGTACTCGAAAGCTTACCTCATGAAAAAATATTATTTTTCTTTATGTTATCTAATCTAACCTTATCAAATCTAACAAGTTTCTAATGTTCAAATTTTAGTTACTTTTATAATAACAAAAAAAGAAGGAAGAAATAAAATATCTGTTTTTTTCTGTTGATTGTCAAAGACACTTAACCCAATTTTGTATACTAATGGTACTACTACATGAAATAATTTTTATTTAATTAAACAATGCATTTACAAACAGAATAATAACATATAAAAAGCAGAAAATAACCTACAACTATCATAATTTTTCTGGCCTTCTAACTATGCAATAAGAGGCATTAAAAATTTAGCTAAACTCCTCAATGTGTTTTCTGTGGGAATAAAGTTTGCACTGGAAGTGAAATAGACAATTATCTGTACAGAAAATGATGTAATATAATACGTCTTTTGATAGATTAAAACTGTGGCTTTCCCTTGGTTATCTATACTAATAAAAGAGCCTGTCTATGTGTGTGACCACAACAGCTCCAAGAGGAAAGAACCTAGAGACCCGAAAATTTGCATGCATACTAAGGGGATTCTGAGGGTGAGCACATGGCATTATTTTTTAGATTTGACTCAAAAAAACTTTGGCCAACTTTTGTGCTATAGCCCTTAAGCTCCATAATTCTGCTTCCTAAAGGTCTATAGAAAAGTATCATATTTTTTTCTAATTCTCACTTACTGAATGAACAATATGTGAAAGTTTTCTGCCAAATATTTTTTTCAACACAAATATGAGAAGAAAAATACAAATCTGAGAATTAAAGAAAAAAAAAGTTGAATTGAACTAAGTTTGGGAAACAGCAACAAACAACGGAAAAAAAATGCGAATCAGAGAATATCGGAGAATTAGGAGAATGAAAATAATTCAAATAAAAACACAGGAAGAAAAAAATGAATTATGAACTTAAAACTTATATAATATTAAAATTTGATTTATTAACTACATTTTTATGCCAACTATATTCATATACCATGATAATAAAGACATGCACACTTTGACTGTAGCGAGAGGGTTAAAAGTTATGGTAAATTACTACTTTGTATTAGAATCTTTCATGTCAGATATTACTACTCTGTAGCATACAAGTTCCAAAACATTTTCTTTGATTCAACAATGTTGCTGTTATAATACATTAAATTAAACAACTGATATCAATACATATCAGCACTTAACAACCAGAATACCACAAACTGCTTCTGGCAAATTATTACATGTTACATAATTTATATTTAACAGTAGTGTCATTAAGAAGATACAAAATCTATAATATTTTTACAAATTATAAATAGAATTATTAATATGCTTTGCAAACTAAAATACTTAACTGAAGCAATTGTTTTTCAAAAGTGGGTGAAATTAGATAAATATTTAAAACTTACATAGAATGTATTACTCACTAACCTGAAGTAATGTACCATGCACCCACTGCTGGGTGGGGCATACACTGTTGGATTTTGCAGATAAAGAAACAAAAAGTTTTTTAATCATAGAATACTTTTCTACAACTAATGGAACTAGTGCCCTAGCTGCAAGAACTCGGATCTCCCAAACTTTGCTGTACCCACAATACATCACATATGGAACAAAAAGTGTCAGGTTCATGTTTGAGTTTTTCTCCTCTGTTACAGTAGGATACAAACGTGCCAAAAGCAACAATATTGGGTAAAGAATGGGGTGAAGATATTGCCTATAACGTAATCAAAAACAGGATAAACATTATTTTCTGTAAACATACAAAAATTAAGCTAAATATCAGTATATAACATTATTTCTAAATAATGTTACTGTTTGAAATAAAATATTTTTTGTCAAATTAAATAAGACCTTGAAAATAAAATCACAATCTCTAATTCAAAAAGTTATGTAATTATTCAGTCTTATTTACAGTTTCTTGCCTGACTATTGTAGAACTATAAGTGGTCATATAGAAATAGAAATACCAAAAAGAATCTTCAAAGTTAATAAACATACTACCTAGAAATAAATAAAATTATGGTTCAAAAAACCAAATTTATAAGAGAACAGGTTCAAAATATCTAGAATAAGATTTTCCAAATAACTTGTTTTACAGTAAAACAAAAATTACTTATACGATCAAGGTAATTAAGCAGTAAGCTATATACGGTACAGAAGATAAGTGACTATTTTCATATTAATAACAGACAGTTTTTCTGGAGCTAATAAAACAACCTACCAACAGAAGCTATGTACAGTTCAATTAGTACACATCTTTCAAATTATCTAGATACTAGGGTATTTTCTTAGCCACTGAAGAACTTCCAATAGGGAAAGAATTAATAGACAATTAAACATAAGCCTCCCACAACTAGCAAAGTTTTATACAATCATTATTTGTTAGATGATCTACAGTTTTACTTGTCCAAACAGAACTCTTGGTAACCAACAGATTAAAATATAAAAAAAATAATAATAACTTGCAAATAAACCATGTGCTATATGTATATTTTATGACTTTGTATGATATTTAGTATTACCTGTTAAATTATCTAAAAGTAGTTATTTTGAAATTTACAATCACATAATTTTTGTGTAAAACTTTTTCTAACTATCAAAGATCCATTACAAATATATAAAAAAAGAAAATAAATACAAAAATAAAAAGATGACAGATAAGAGAAGACAAAACTAAAAATCATTCAATCATGTATGAATATGTATGTGTGTGTGTGTGTGTGTGTGTGTACAAAATTCTTACCTTCCTGCACATGATAATTTATTTAAAGTAGTTGCCTCTTTTAGCTCATTCAACAAGAATTCATACAAAGATGGAAATCTCTGGAAAAATGTTCTCCCTGTCATACAGTTCTTCTTATGAGGCTCTTCTCGAGATCGATTAACTCCAAAGATACGAGTCATTAAAGCACTAAACAAAAGTGTGGCAGCATTCCTAACCTGAAATGATATAACCATTATAATAGTGTATATATATACAGGGATCCCTCGATTAATGCTTTTTTGTTTAGTGCGCTTACATTTTTTTATAACCAGTATTCGATTACTGCGTGCATAATACTCGATTAGTGCGGTAACACACATTTCATTTTAACCATAGTAATTGAAAAGTAAGTTCTAGGCACTGAAATTCAAAATTTTGTTAAAAATAAAAAATGGGTAACTATTTTACTTGTCAAGTTATTACTAGAGTGTCTACCCCGGGGTATTTTAGCGATTTTTTTCACCTCTTGCCCCGGGGTAAAATACTTGAAATACCCTGGGGCAAATCTTTACTATTTTACTGAACAAATATCTTTTTCATAACAATAATTCATAAAAACCATCGTCTTCATCAAAATTATTGTCATTATGATGATCGTCGTTGTTTATAGGAAACG